TTACAACACGACTGGACACCACAATACATGTGATATTCACATATGAATTTGACACATATAAAGCTCACAAATGCGCATCATTACTAAACTCTGGTGACTGTGCAATAGCAGTTTGAACCAAAACGTTCGAAAACTTACGTAAAGGGGCATTCATGTGTCCCTCAAAAGATTCAATGTGTATATTAGTTTCAGTTCAATACGCAGAGTATTATATGCCCGCTATTGAAAACAAACTGCTGAAGAATATCATCAGCAATATATGTCATCCATAAGCCTGCACTGAATTTAGCGCCTACGAGAGACTTTTCGTCGATTTTTCTCTCTTTACCTCAAGAAGTTCCACGAAGAAAAATAAAGGATATATAAATATGATTAACAATAAAGCTGAAAGTACAGTGCTTCCATCTTCATTCGCGTAACACACGTGGTTCTGACTTTTGAATATGCTCATTGCCTAACCCTATTCAAACTTGTTATATTCCTCTTCATGTTAAAAGTATTCTCCTTGTTATGAAAAATAATCCAACGATTCATCTTAATTTGAGTAACTTCAACCCCTAACATAAGAATCTGACTTTCAAACGGGAATAAGGCTGACAGGAAATGGTTCCAACTTAGAAGGTATTAGGGTAAAAAGAAAGCTGACTGATAACTCTCTTGGAATAAGTCTTCTGATCTTTTTTGCTTTCCTCACATATTAATGATTTGTAGCAAAACATTTTATTTAACATCCTACCTAATGAAGTTTAGACGTTCCAGAATAGCCATTGCGCCCTAATGTACTGCATCCACCTAATCTATCTTTGGTTGCTTATTGCAAAGAAACGCGAGGAGTTATATAATAAATTTCATCTACATCCATTTTACGCATTATTTTTTCGAGTATCTTAGAAAGCACCTAAGCTGACTGTCAAACTCTTGAAAATGACACAATTCCAAGATTCTAGCCAAGGGTAAGCGCAAGACGTATCTAGCTGAACCACAGCCAGCAGGAATTAAGAATAACATCCACGATCTCTTATGTAGAATGAAGAGTAGGAACGACAAAAACGTTCGACTCAGCATATGTTTATTATCTTTGAACTCGCCGAACAACGAACGCAGACAATACACTCTTGAATTTCGTCTAACGATATTCTGGACATGTTCGTAAAAGAAATTAGGTGAGTTCCTGACACCCTAATCTATCAGAATAAGTTATCAACGCCATCTGTTGCACAAACAACTAAATTTGTTAGATAGTTCTTATATTAGAATATTTGCTGAAGAAGCATGGATGGTTAAATGTACACTTGGCTCCATAAATTAAATCTCCACTATGAAAATACAAATTACAACAGCATAGATGCTGAATTTTTCAAAGGCTAAGTGTGCTATTCAATTTGTATGCTCTTACTTTATTACGTCAACTGTCACTACTGCTATTCTCACTTTGAACTGTCCCCGGTTTTGTTTCACTTGTCATTCTGTTTTGCAACGTTAAATTCTGTTATCAAATTTCACACGATATTGCGTAACGTTCTTATTTTATTCGATTTGCCTACTAATCCTATATTTGCACACCCCTTCCAAGGCCTATACATCCTATGAATTATTCTACATATGACGTTAATTGTTTTGCCACTTGGCATTTAACTATGATTATAATTACAAACATTTCAATTCTAACTGCATTTCATACTATTATTTTATGCATTGATACCTATGATTCAATCTCCTCACCGGACATAACTTCTTAAAAAACCATATATATACGATTTTATGGCTTGATAATAAATTCGTTAAAAAGAGTCTTCGCTGAATCACTTGTTTTGATTTCCTATATGTTACAATGGGAATTTTCCATAAATTAAAAAATGCCCTTTTGACAAATTCATTTTAGATTTTATGCGAAAATTATCTTTGTGAAGATGAGAATAAATCTAAAGATGGGGAATAACTTTGAAGCTGTTAAAATCTTTATTTTGGGATAAAGATTAAAGGCATCATATGACCCTAGATGCATATTAACCTCTATCCTGTTTCTAGATGTTAGATAACAGTTTAACCTCATCTCAAATTCATAAAGATACTAATAGACAATTATCACAACTTCATTTGTATAGTAATTCAGACGATAAGTGAATTGTTACCAAGACAATGTCTGCATATGCTTGTCATATTTACCATTCTAGTAACTATACCTATGAGCACGAAAATAAGGTGTTTTTAAACACTTGGACAAGTTTGTGTCTACTTTAATTCGGCCGAACGATACGGAACTTTCCTGTGTCTAAGCTCTCACTATTAGGACAAGAACAGAAACGTATTATCGCTATGCTTATTATAAAGGGCTTGATCATCGTAACTTTGTTGCTCTGTAGAGATAATGAACTTTTAAATACAGATCTTTCTATTGTAATATCACATCGTTTTTGGCTAAATATATATCACTTCATACATGAGATGCTGAAAGACAACTTTGACAAACTAAAACAATGTGGACAACGAATTGTGTTGTGTGCCTTGTCAGTATTACAGCCGAACTAAATATTCACAGGTAGTTGCTAATTTCAACAAAGTAGACCAAAGATGTGATATGAATAACCTCCTAATTGTAAACTCACAAAATTCAATTTTGAGTACACAACTTGAAGAATAATGTATAATTATATAATAACATATCCGGAATTTGCGCAGAATACTTCTCAAAATATAGAAATAAAGACAAATATATCAATAGAGGGATTCTCCGGTTAATCCATTCACTCGGCTGTACGATCACAATTATACATAATCATATTTCTCCGTATGTACATTCAGTAAAAAGAAAACAAATTCGTTTGCATCAAAATATTTCGAAATAGTGCGCTCATAAAACGTGCTGCCACAAAATTCTGCAGTAACCAAAATTAAGGCAAACGTGGAGCCATTCCAGATTTCGCTAACGCCGCTACCTTTTGCCCAGAAGCTATTGAAGGCGTTTGCCTGTCTACCTGTACTTACTGAGGACTCCTATAGGTTTGCACGAAGCGATGCATGTAAAGGAAGCAATATATCGTGTTACCCAATAATCGACTGCATCATAATGTATGTGGGTAATGAGACACATCATGTTAAACCAGAAAACTCTGAACCCAAACGCTCTTGATATGGGTTCGCTGCCAAGCTAAAATAATTTCCGAAAGATGGGTTTTAGAATATTCATACCGCAACGGCGTTATGTTGAATACATTTATCATTATTACTACACAATATCACTCACGCATAGTCATTACAAGCTGCCATAAATAATTTAGCACTAGGGAAATGAAGACTACACTGCTGTCACTTATTTAGGATGAATCATGACTGAAGTTAGTGTTTACATACACCAAGAACTCGAAAGTCATTTATCGCCTACATACGTGATCCTGTTGAATTACGTACTTTTAGTTAAGGGATATAACACCTATTCTCATAATCGCTTTATGTGAAGAGGCAACTACATCCTCATATGTGCCATGTAGAATAACTCAAATGTTGCACTCCCGTCTTTGACGACAGATCTAGGTCATAGAATATTAGTCACAATCAAGCAGTGGAATTTTGAATGTCACTTAAAGTTAGACACTACCGGTTGCTTCCTTAGTCTTTTCCAAGAAACTGAACCTTCCTACAAATATACACCGAAGAATATACGATTAAGTAGTGCACAAACACATTCCTTACAGCACTTTACAGTGTGAAGAAACCAGTACATCAATGAAACCAAGTTGAAGTGTACACTACAAAAATAACAACACTTAACCAATTTGATCAGAACGCGCTTTACATTTCAACTGATGATTAATCCAACAAACTGAAGAATGAACGAATACCAGAAAACCACGCCGTGCAGGCCATTCTCATTATTGCAGTTGGTCTGTAGGAAACCTCCGTAACTAGCCAGCGTAAACCCGATGGCACTGGTCTGTGGTACGCGACAACACCGCTCGAGTCAGAAAACGGGTAAGAACTCTCTGAACTTCCAGACAAATCAAATACGCTTCACTACATGGAACTTCATTCTACCCTATACAGTTAAGCTCGGTCAGAGTTATTAACACGAAGTTTATTAATCCTACTCGAAATCCTACGAAATAACCGATAGCCACATGACTGCACTATATCCGTACGTACTGCACAGGCTTGTATTTCGTAGCATCTTCTATTTGCGATCTCGAAAGCTGTCAATTAAGTGAAATGGGAAATTTAGTGCAGACTTCAACCTCAAGGTCAGAAGAACCTGCATCACAACTTTCCTATTGGTAAAAAACTTTTTTACTTAGAAAGATCAACTAAAAAACATCAACATCTTGATTAGGTATGCGATTTCACGGTACTCAGCCCTAAAAACTTACAAATTAATCTAACTACAGAAAATAGATACACAGACTAGTCTCACAGAGAAAAATATTGTTCTTTAGGGTCAACACAACATCAACACTCACGATACACAGGCATCGTGTATACTAAAACCTGGAGAATTTTCATGGTCGTAGAGAATGATAAACCACAAAAAAACTACACAAGCCAAATCCATGTGATTGTTTCTTCATAAAATATACCAGCCAATAAAGTGGCAGTTTTTACTAAGTTGTCATTCAGAGTATCACTGTGAAATTGCCTGTATTCCAGTAATTAAACCACTGTTGTATGTTGAAGTTTAAGTCCACATAAATGTCGCACTTCTACTGGTAACGTTAAGTTCCGATGAACAAAAACCTATTAACTTCCACAATAACTCTGCAGTATTACTGCCTGGATGCCGATTAGGACAGAAAACCATTTCAACGAAAAACGACCAAACCCATAATCCTTGTGAGCTGTGAACGCCATTGCCTTATAAGGACAGTATCACAGGGAGTGTCTGAATACATATCTCCGTCTGTCGTAATAATAGGTGTTGGAACTTTTTAGCTGCCTGTGGAGAGATGACAATTAATGTCTACACAAGTCATGACTAAAACTACACCCTTGTTTAAATGAAAACAACCTGGTCCATCCTCAAGCATATATTACATTTATTCACAGAACCCAGTCTGGGAATTCTATCTGGACATCCTTGCCTGTCAGCTTTTTGTATAATCCAGTGATGGTTTTCAACTAAGAACATTACCTATTAACTTATCTCAACCTTACCTTGTGCTCAATGTAATTCCTTTGGGCGACATCTAGATGGCATTTGATCAGTGTGCTGCCATCACATCGAACTTGAATTCGCTTCCCCACTATTTCGGCTGGATATACAAGGTCTTTGAGAATAGCTTCATGCACGGCTGTTAAAGTTCTACTTCTCGGACGCTTTTGCTTAGGGTTAAATTTGCAATTTCTCTTTGGTTTAGCCAGTATTCTCCGGAAAGCCAGGAGGACAACATGAGGACCCCGAAGTTTCTTTTCTAGCTCACCGACCAACCGGTTATGTATCACTTGATACGTACGTAGTTGAGGCACGGGAACATATATCACAACTGCCTTCTCCTTGCCAATCGTCATTTCCTATTGCTAATGAAAGCTAACGTAGAGAACCAACCTTTGCTTCACAAAAGTACAATAGCTTCATTGTGTCGGACCAATCATCGTGTATTTGCAGATCTATGATAGCCTGACGAATTATCAAAAAAACCGTTCAAAAACCCACCTGCGCTATTTCTTCTTCTAATGGTGTCACCGGTTTTTTGTCCGGTTTAATTATTTTGGACAAAGCAAGAGAATGAACCTGTGAAATACATAGAGAGCCACAATTACTTACATCAGATGCTTGAAGCATGTCTCATCCACAGATAGCGGGTTCAAAGTGAATGTGATTTCAAACAACCGTTAAGTCTGAACACAACATGGTTCAATTTTTCTAGGGAAATAAGATTATGAGGATTAAATATTATTATATGATAATGGAGATGAATGTGATCATTTAAGGTTGCCTTTCTAGGTTTTTCGATTCGTGATAATAAACTATGATCATATCAGACAACATCTCGGCCAAGCTAAAATTCCATGAGACACAATATGGTTTCGAAGGAGTTAGATCCTGTGTTATGAATTTATTATCATCTTCGAATGACTGAAAACTATGTTGTGGTATAAATACCCCAGTCCAAGTGGTCTTCCTCGATTTCGCGATGGCATTGACACAGTTCAACATAATCTCTTCTGTCACAAAATAAGTCAGGCAGGTGTTTGTGGCCCACTTTTCTCATGGTTAAATGACCACCCAGACTAGAGGGAATTCTTCAGAAGTGTCGCCCACGTCAGATCATCTTGGCACTGTTCAATATCGAGGGATTCCATCTAGAGGCCATTTGTACTTTTGATTTTTATCAGTGACTTACCACGCATAAACTGCCCGGCTATTCTTCATGCTAACGACGTAGAGATTTGGGAAGGAATGGAGTGCTTGGAGAACTCAGGAAAGCTTCAGGCAGATCTGAAAATTGTGGGAGACGAGGCATTGGCTAATGGTTTGACTTTCAGCCTGAGAAAATGCAAAGTACTGCCACTACGTAACTGTAGGTCATGGAATGTAATTACTTCCATTATAACGATAACTTGTCGTCAGAAACGTCAGAGTGAGACTTAGGTCCAGGTCCAATGGAAAGGACTGACACGATCATGATTTAGCGAGGGTAAGTATAGTTATACATTTGTGCATAAACAGTTAAATGCGCTCACTCCTGAGCTCCTTCTGGGAAAGTGCCAATACTTTCGATAGAGTTCAAAGACAGACCACAAAAGAGATGGTGGGTCTCCCAAATAAACCTTATGACAGAAGACTGAAGAAACTAGGTCTTTTTGCTCTTAGCTACCAACACCTTGGGAGTGGCCTAATACCACCTATAAGATCAAAAACGACTAGAATCATGAAAACACATGTATTCTGCCGTCAGGTAAGTATGGGCCTTCTAGCAACAATCCGATAATAACTGTGCATCAAAGAGTAAAGACTTGGGTACTCTCATACTTCTTTTCGATTGGAGTTTGCCGCTCCTTGGAAAGCCTTAAGTGAAGGCTGGACATTCTTGTGGTGACAGCAGGATTGGGTTCAAATGGCCTATCCCCTTAAAACCCACACCACTAGTGAACAAACGGCTAAACTCTCCCTTTAATGCTGCATGTCCTCTCATATCCTACTCATCTACCTATTCTGTCTCTTCATTCGCCTATTTTTTATAATTAGTTTTATTTATTTATTTGTTTCGTTCATCAAATGTCATTACCTGAATAATCAACCCCATTAAAAACAGCGACACGGTATTAACACAGCGTATCCTGCAAACCACATATGATCGATATCAGCACCTCTCCTTTTGTAGTCAATCGGAGCTACAACAGTCAGGTGACGCGACATACCGCACAAAGCTTACCCGAAACCAGGAACCCTTGCGTTTCAGCCAAGAAACCGGCAAAAATAAATCAATTTGATTTTTACTAGCTCGCGAAAACGATTTGGATATTAGAAGCCCACTATAATACCCACATAATATGAACTGTTACTGGAGAAATGTCTCCAATTCGTGAATTACTTTTGTTCTCGTTTTCAGCTACAGGTGAGAATAAATCATATGAACCATGGAAATTCGTTACACCCAACCGTATATATTTATATGAAGAAATCAACAAATACCTGCCACAGTCCCATGTCTCGAAATCCCATAAAATCCAGCTGACTCACCGCCCATCAAAGCAGCTCCTAAGACGAATTGTGAGTGAATCCAGAAGTTCAGGTCTGTGATAGTCTATGTCTTGCAATATTCCCAAGTTCATCAAAGCAAAAATTTACCATTTGCAACTGACTTAATAGAGTGCTTTCACCCATTTGTTAATTGGAGCAAATAATTCGGGTGTTTCGTTGATAAATTCCTTTTGTGAATTTTTGTAATTTTTCCGTTATACTATAGTATTAGGCATTGATCTCTGCTCTGTGTAGCGTATAATCAATCTAGGGTTATTAAAGAACAGAATCTCATTGACTGTATGTTTCATGTAAGTGGCTGTGAACTAAGATTCACTAATGGGAGTCGTTTTTTTAGACTTTTTCGACAGTCCTCCACTATTCGCTTAATGGCAAAGAAACTTCATCTAAACTCATAGGTCCAACACGACTGTTTTCAACTGATTAGATAAGGTCAAAAAGCTCCACTTAAGAGAACAGACTCCAGCGTACGCTGGACATCTGGGGTACAGCAAAAACATGTTCTACTACTACTTGTAAACGAATATGAAGCCACACAAGTGGAACATAGCCTTTTCATATTTGCAGTTATCAGGAACGCACCAGAACTGACAATATCCTCGGAGTAGTGGTGGTGAGTAATCAGAGTTGTGCAGTTTCGGCGGCGAGTTTAATAGTAGAACCCGTCACTCATGTATTAAGCTGGAAAGACTTTTAGCGTGTACAGTAGATGCTGCTGAATGGAACAACCAATTGGGCAATAAAATGAATATGAGAGTAACCATGGAAAATGAACTACAAAAACGGTGTCCAGTATATCAAACGATGCGTTTGTGTGGACTGATGGTTTTTGTGCCGAAAAAGGCATTGTTCTTACATTTTCACTTCCTCGGGAATAATCTCGTTGAGATATTAACACAATGCCTAAGGGATGCGGTAAAACAGCATTCAATGCTGCTAAATTACGCTGTCTTCAAAACCATCCTCAGTTTTGGGAGTAAAAGATTAACTGCCTAATTTCGCCTCTTTCATGCTTTTCTACTCACTCGGCTGCTCCGGGGAGCTAGTTACATAAGCCGTGCAATTAGGTGTGTTTATCGTTGGATTTCCGTACATCATCCCGCCTGGTAGGTTGGGTTAGGGACAAACAAAACCCATTCATAAAGCTATTTTATCTCCTCTTGTGGCTGCAGAACACAAGATTGATGTTAAAGAGGCCTCTTTCAAACATGTTTGGAGTGGAACTCCGTTGTCACTATGATACTCAAATGTCGTTGTACTACGAGTCTCCCTCTCCCTCTCGCGACAGTATACAACATGTAAGAGAACAGTTGTTTGGATAATATCGCCTGAACGATTTATTCACAAAGTTGATAATTATTGAGATATTTCAACTAACCGTGAACCATCTAATCTTAAATTCACCCCGAGTTCGTTTACTAAATATTGCTGAGGCTGTTGGGATCCACACTAAGAATCCTAACATGTGTCCATAAGGAGCCGGTTCAAACATCGTCCCTACCTTGGCCATCAAGGTTCTAATGATCCTTAATTTGTTGTGGAAATTTCCATAATTTTATTTGATATCCCATTTTCTATTACGCTATCATGCTTATTGTAATTTATGCATCTTTCGTGAACTGTAATTCCATTTATCTTACTTAACAAGTCAATAGTATTTAAAAGTACCAATGTTGGTAATGATGACTATTCTAGAATATTCGATGTATATAAACATAAATAATCGTAAAGCCGGAAGAGGAAATCATCGAAAAGAGTATTATTTGCCCAATTTTTGCTTTGTGTTTTCTAGATGCCCGAATAAATTGTAGGTGTTAGAATTTCAAATAGGGAACTCACCCAGTTTCAAAACTGTTTTCCCTGTTGAGCGGGAGGACAGTGCAACCAACGTATCAGTTACGAACCCTACTTTAAGTTATCTGATATACGGATAACACAACTTTGTAACACAAGGGAAAAGTTAGGATTATCTACGCAATTCCTTTGGAAATTCTAAAGTGTTGATGAACTCATGAAACTCTGGAATCTTTGGATATTCCACCTTCGTGTAAAATTTGTGGTGTCACAGCAACGCGGAATGCTGTGGCCGCTCAGATCTAGTTATCGACCGAGGAGTTCAGGAGAATGAGGTGAGTAACCAAGTAGAAGCCATATCGTCCTCATAATTTGTAGGGATTCCTTTGTCTACTAGATGTTTAACGCCTTTCCGTGTGTCTTACTATGTTCACCCCCCCTCATTTGCGCACTGCCACACTTTCAGAAAATATATGTTCTTGTCTTGCAGACAGCTTAATCACTGAGTTACAACCGTCTAAACCCACGATTCAGCAGGTGAAGTGGCGAAGAAATAAGTCTGTCGGCACATGATATTCCCTAGACTTGTTTCTATCTGACGCTAACAGGCAAGTGATTTCGCAGTCATCCCACCAATCTAGGGGTTTAAACGTGCCAGTGACACCCTATACTGCAGTTCGTGATACTTATGCAAGGCGTCTTAAAACTATTGCGCTTGCATAACCGCTGTGGGGGATTGAGTGCCGACTGTGACTACATTGTCACCACTCTCACTTTTGCTTATCAAAAGTTATATGGCTTAGTGCTACGCAGACATCCGGTCACACAATATCTTGTGGGTCTACTGATGGTTTAAAGTCGCATTCATTCACCCACAACTATCGCTAGCTTATTAATCAACTCAACATACACACAGGCTGCTGTGTTCGACGACTCGGTTATATAATCTCTGCATAAAACGCTGCGATGACGAATAAATGGAAAGATTCTGTTAACAGAGACAACCCAAGATGTTCTCAATATGAGTCGTTTGGTCCAATGACTGAACCAAAACCTCATTATGTGTAGGCCCCTCTCAGCCGAAAGGACTACCAATAAAACAGATCTTTTAAATGTTTCACATCCCGTAAATGCAGCTGGTGGTGTTGAGATAATGTTGTGTATGGCCTCTACAACAAGTTATTCTCTGGTGACTCAGATGTGATTAGGGGACTCAGAAGGATGGAACGAGCAACCAGGCGGGAAGTCTACCTTCCTCATGATTTGTAAAGGCTTTCGTTGTCTGTTGAGTGATAAATACCCTTCCATGTGTTTGAGTAAACATTCCCGCTTCAC